CTCTAATTCTTTTGCAGTTTTACCCTCTGAAACCCCCCACCTCCTTACCTCTTCCTACCATTATTTCATCTTCTCGCCTGCTAGTTTCTCAGTCTGCGAGGCCTCACGCACCTGCATCTTCTTCGCGCCTATTGTCTGTGAAGTTGAACCTGTCTCCTAAGCCCAAGTCTCTTCACATTCCTCCAGTGCCTACAATTCCCCAACAGTTTTCCTTTTCAACTTCGGTGCCTAGTTCTCGCCCCGTTTCTAACTGTCACACAAAGGTGGAGGATCACCCCCTTCGTGTGGTTCCCTCTTCTCCTGTTCCCCCCCCCGGACTTCTTCCCCCATCCCCTTCCAGCCTCTTTCCTCTCTTGTTCCACTGCATGACTACTGTCCCCGCCAGCGCATCTCTCCAGGTTCATACTTCCCTCCCCTCTCAGACCTCTTCAGTTCCCTCCATAGTCACCCCGATCTCTACTTGCTCTACCTCGCCTGTCTCTGAAGTCATGGTATTGGCATCTTCCTTGTCTACTGAGACACTTGACGCTATCTCGGACTATATTGCGGAGGCGAAACCCTCGATAGACACCGGTGTGCCTTATTTTTCACAACCCTCGCAGCAATCTTTTCCTTCACAGCATTCAAATTCCTCCTTGCTTATATGCTTTCCGTTGCTTCCACACATTGACTTCACTGACCCCACTAGTCTGTAGAATTTATCACTTCTCATTGTTATTATTATAATCAAAAAAAGAAGCGCTAAGCCACAAGGGCTATACAGCACTTCTCATTGTTGGCATACCTATCTTTGTGAATAATGACTTATTTACAATGGAATATTCGTGACCTCAGGGGTAATCAGAGAGAGCTCCATGTATTGCTCTCCCAGTCTTCCTCAGTATGTTTCGGGTTACAAGAGTCTAAAGTTCGTTCAGCTCTTATCCATCCCTTTTTGGGCTATGTACTGTTGCATTCTTCTTATCCCTTTCCTTATGACCCCCTAGTTCTCCGTATCCAACTTTGGCTATGCCGTATCTCTACCAAGCATAAAGATATCGTTTTTTGTTGGGTCCCTGGTCATGTTGACGTACAGGGCAATGAACAGGCAGGCACTGCTGCGCAGTCAGCAGTACATGATCTACCAATTTCATATAGAGGTGTTCCATTTCTGGACTATTTTGCTGTAATAGCTACCCACCTTCACACCCGTTGGCAACAACGTTGGTCAACTCTGCTCAGTAACAAACTTCTTTCCATTAAACCGAGCATAGGTTACTGGCCGTCTTCTTGTCATCAGTGCCGAGGTTGGGAGACTACTCTCCCTCCTTCGCATTGGCCACACTTGTCTTACTCACGGGTATCTCATGGAGAGGCACCCTGTTCCTCTCTGTGAGCAGTGTCAAGTTCCAGTATCGATTGGCCACATTTTATTAGACTGCCCTCTCTATCAACGAGCACGCAGAATTTACCTCCGTCGTCGTCTCCGCTCTACTACTCTCTCTTTACCTTCCCTTCTTGCTGATGGAACCTCCTTTAATTCTGACTCTCTCATTGACTTCTTGACAACGACTTATTTACTCCACAAACTCTGATGATGGTACCTTTCGCACTCCCCTCAGCCCTTTCTACCTCAATCTCTTGCTGCCCTCTACCCTTTCACCATCCACTGCCCCGCTGTTCTCCGTAACCTTTTACTCCCCCATCTCCCTTTTGCCACCTGATACCCTCGCTTCCTTCCTGCTCTGCAGCACTGTATAGCCCTTGTGGTTTAGTGCTTCTTTTTTATAATAATAATTTCCTTATGAACTTTTAACGAGCGCATACTCTTTGTGCACGTTGGTATACCATTTCAACAGGTCTTTGTTCATTCTCTGCTGCATTATACTGCAGCCCGTATTTGCACAGGTGGTATACAGTTTACTCTATATCTCTCCCCTTCCTGTGCATTCTGTATCTTGGATGTTGTGTTCTTGATCTCTTCTCTGCTGTCACTCATCTTTTTAGGTGATTTTTAACACTCATCATATTTCCATATGTACAAAATGCCTTAGCTAATAAACACTCCATCCTAGTAGTCTTTATTGATCTTGAGAAGGCACATGACACCCCTTGGAGGTATATTATTATTATTATTATAATCAAAAAGAAGCGCTAAGCCACAAGGGCTATACAGCGCTGCAGGGTAGGGAAGGAAGCGAGGGTATTGGATGGCAGAAGGGAGGAGGGATGATCAGAAAACAGCGGGGCAGGGGATAGTACGGGGGTAGGGGGTAGCAAGAGATTGAAGTAAAAAGGGCTGAAGGTATCAGAATTTGTGAAGTCAGTCAGTTGTTGTCAAAAAGTCAATGAGAGTGTCTGGATGAAAGGTGGGTCCATCAGCAAGAAGGGAAGGTACAGAGAGAGCAGCAGAGCGAAGACGACGACGGAGGTAAATTCTGCGTGCTCCTGGAGGTATAACATCTTAGCCCAGGCCCCCTCCTTAGGCCTCCACGGTAATCTACCAACCTTCCTTGCTACTTTCTTATCTGAAAGATATTTTCGTGCCCGTGTTGGCACCTCACTTCCCTCAGACTTTGTTCAGGCCAAGGGAGCCCCACAAGGTTGTGTCCTTAGCACTACCCTTTTTTCTCTTGGCTATATATGACCTACCTTCCATTCTTCCATCGCATATTTGGTCGTCACTTTATGTGGATGACTTCGCTATAGCTTACGCAGGCGCTGACTGTCGCCTAGTAGCAGCCTCCCTTCAAGTTGTGATTGACTATGTTTCCCATTGGGCCACTTCTCGCGGATTTAAATTTTCTAGTGCAAAAACCCATTTCATTACCTTCACTAGACGTCCTCGTCTCAGATATTCCATTGTATTTGCACAGCTCACGTATCCTGGTATGTTTCTTGGCCTTCTATTTGATCGCCAGTTGACATGGAAACCTCACATTTCCTCTGACGGCAGATTGCCATGGTCGGCTGAACCTTTTTAAAATTCTTGCACATCGTCCATAAGGAGCAGATCGCCAGACTCTACTCCATTTGCATTCCACCCTAGTCTTGTCAAAACTGGATTATGGTGACCAAGTCTATTCTGCGGCTTCTGCAACTCTTTCTAAGTTACATCCCATTCATCAGGGTCTATACTTATGCCTTGGTGCCTTTTGCTCATCCCCTATTGAAGCATCTATGCTGAGACAAATGCTCATTCCTTAGCCGATCGTCGTGATGCTTATTGCCTTCATTACTCTGTCCACTCTCATGACCTTTGGGTTCCATCTATGTATAGGTTGGTCTTGGACGTTAGTAGAAGCCCGTCATTTGATCAGCACCCCTGCTTACTCCATCCATTTTCTCTGTCTTCACTCACTCCGGTCTTCTCTCCAGTTGCCTCATTTGTATGTTCATGAAGTGTCTGCATTTTCCCTTTCCCCTTAGGAGGTTCGGACAGTTTTGTGTCCGTTTTTCCCTATTGCTGTGCAACAATTATATTGGCTGCTTCTCGCTCTCTTTTTCTCGAATCCCTTCCGGTCACGTGCTCATGCCATCGCTGTTTATACAGATGGTTCTACTCTTTTGATGGTGTTGGGTTCATGGCGGTGTTCCCTGACATTGTTGTCCGGGGTCACTTGTTAGACTCGGCTAGTATTTTTACCACCGAGTTGTGTGCCATCCTCATAGCGCTTCTCTGCATTACATGTATGTCTCCATTGGCATTTGTGATCACTTTGGATTCCTTCAGCACTTTACAGACCATTAAACAATTTGATTCCCCTCATCCGCTGGTCCTTCGTATTCAACTTTGGTTGCACCGTGTAGCTAGCAAAAATAAAGACGTCATGTTCTGTTGGGTCCCTGGACACGATGTGCGGGACAATGAACAGGCAGAAGCTGCTGCGCGGTCAGCGGTGCATGATCTTCTAGTTTCCTATAAAGGTATTCTGTTCAGGGATTATTTTACTGTCATTTCTACCAGTCTTCGCGGCTGTTGGTAACAATAGTGGTCAGACATCACAGGCCTACCACTCTTACCTTATCTTCCCTTCTTGCAAATGGCCCTTCTTCTGACTTATGATCACTTTTTTACTTTTTGTCAGCAACTGCTTTACTATAAGAACTTTGACACATAGCCCCTAACATCCCTTCCAGCCCTTTTCTCCCCTCACCCCTGATCCCCTCTCCACCTAGCTGTTTATAGCCCTGGCACTATTCTCTGCCCCGCAGCGCTGCATGACCCTTCTCGGTTTAGTGCTTTATTTGGTTATAACAATAATGAGACCACATGGAGAGAGGTATGGTTCAAGGGTACTTAGATTCAATATAAGGGGGATGAGATCAAAGTCCTTGAATCTAGAGCCCCTTCACCACAGCAAGGGACCCTTCTAGAAGGATGTAATTATATCCGTAGTCACAAAAAAAAAAAGCACTACACTGGTGCACTGAACCTCCCTAGCTGGTGGCTCCATCCTTTCTAAGGTGGGAGAAGATAAGTAGGACTTTCCCTTTATGTGGAATTTCTTTATTACTGGTGAAGGGCTCTTGATCCGAGAAACTGTATTATTGTTATAATCAAAAAGAAGTGCTTAACCTACTAGGATCATACAGCCCTGCAGGGCAAGTGATGTTGCTGGATCACAGAGTAGCAAGGGTGGAGAGGATAACAGAGGTAGAGTTAGAAAGGGCTGTGAGGAGTGCTAAAGGAAGTATTATGAAAGTTTGAGTAATAAATCAGTTGCAGTTAAAAAGTCAAAGAGGAAGTCTGTGTCAAAGGAGGGGCTGGAACCTCCCTCTCCTTCCGTGGACCAAACCTGATTACCTCCTGTTCCCCAGGTGCTGTATAACTCCTACAGGTTCAGTGCCTCTACATGAATAATACGGGACTGAGAATTGTAGCTTGTAACATGAAAGTAAGTTACTGGAGCACTTTGCTATTGGTTCCAGTATAACTGCAACCAAGTTAAGAATACATTCAACATCAGGAAATTATTCAATGAAACAAAAATTTCTAGGAGACAAAAAAAATACCAGCATGACTGCAATTTGCAATTTCTTGAGTAAAAGGCTCATACAGTTTTCTTTTGCTGTTAAAACTTCACATTTAGTGCTGTATGGAATGCTCATACACTGCTTTTAAACAACAAGCAAATATAAACTAATGCTATTCATTATTTTCAAAACACAATTTGGTCTAGTCAACCCAGAAAACAGGACAATCTATTAAACATTTATTAAAATTATTTTTATTATTTTTTCCAATATTTCAATGAGAGCATTTACACAGTTACTGCTGCCTCTATGAAAATCACATTATCCAGGTCCTTCGACCCATTACGAGGCTGTAAGTTCTCTGAAATAACCATATACTGTACTACAGTCTTATAAAAAAAATTCAAATGAAAAGTTGAAAACAAATAAAAATACAATAGAAATTAAAAATAAATATATCTGCCCCCCACCCAACATTACTACTACAGCCACTCATTACATGCACTTAAACCCTATTCAACCATCTATGGTTAAAATTTTCCCATCAGATTTATTCTGCTTATATTCCCCCTATAAATCCAACAGTGGTCATTTTTACAATAAAATATTTAGTTCCTGCCAACTCCACCCCATTTTTGTTTTAAGGGATAGCTTATGAAAGTCTCACTTGTAACATTTAGGGTTTTGCTACGAACTAGTATCCATAAGATCTCACCATGATCACTACACTGTACATTATGATTGTACATTATGATTGTATATGAAGACTTAGTTCAAACATCAGCTTACACACACACACACACACACACACACACACACACACACACACACACACACACACAAATAGTCTTACTAATAGTCAGCTTTAAACCTCTAGATTATCAGTAGTAAGCTGCTATAAAACAGGCAAGAATTAGTAATTAAAAAATAATGCATTTCTAATTCATCCTATTACTGGGAATTAGAGAAGTGAACTGCAACTGATAAGCATTATATAAGAATAGGCATGGCTAAGATTTTCTCAGTTTTATGTATCAGTTTGAAGTGAAGATGAGCACGAGTTACTTTTTAGGCTTAATTTACTTAAAACACTTTCAAGTGCCAAAATATAAATAAATTTAAAAACATTTAGAGCCTTACAATATTTGGCAACCATATGAAAGTGAACTCAAATAACTTAATTAAAAAAAATCAGCATTTCATTTCTCCATATTATAGACACTTGAGAAATACCACTACAATATATACATTATATATTTAGGTTCAGCTGTGCTAGTGCTCATGGAGAGTGCACACCAGATAGTATGCTCTAACATGGTGATGGAGTGGGCAGGGACAAAGATTTTACTAAAAACAAAAAAAAAAACATTGACATAACAGCTGAGAAATGACCGATCACTTTCAGTACGTAGATTTTATAAACCGCCCAATTCTCATGCCAAACCAATAACAACAGCACTAAAAATTTTCAAGATAACCTTTAATTTTCCAATCACAAAATATTGCACAAAATGTTCATCATGAATGAATTCAACATAAGGGTAAATGCAATTGGCAGGAAACAGTAAAAAATTTTCAAACTAGAATTAACTTAGTGTTCTTGTGTAAATGTGTGTTAGCACCTAACTGAACTAATCACTAAGCATAAAATTTTTTAGCTTACACTGAAAACTATTAAACCTCCAATGGTTATTAAAGCTCAAACATAATCATGCAAGGAAACAAATTTAAATTCACACAAGGATTAGTGAAAATATTAGGTACAGTACTGTATATTAAAATGAGCAAAAGTCCTGCCTCTCCTCAGTAACTATTAACCCGATGAACAACAAAAATGTCTGAATATACTAAACATTACCTGACAAATACAATTAACAGATGACCAAGTACCTGGTACTTCAATTTGCAACACACTACAAAACTGTACCTGGTACTTCAATTTGCAACACACTACAAAACTGTGCCTGGTACTTCAATTTGCAGCACAATACAAAACTGTCTAATGAATAATCTTTGCTGTGTTTTCATTTTAATTTTTATCGCTTCATATTTTTCTCCAGCAAACTATTATCATGGATTAATATATAACAGGAAGCTCATGAATGTACATGCTATATTCTGCTGTAGTCCAAATTTACTTGGAATATTTCATAAATTGTCACTTATATGAACTTCATGAAACTAAGATAATTAAAATTTAAGAAAAATTTGTTGAGGGTCTTTCAGCAACCAATTCCAAAAAGATAATTTTAATCCACTGGGAAGGAATGCTACTGCTATGATGTATATACCATTAGCTACCTAGCTATTAAAATTGTCACTGAACTAGCAAATCCTCTTCTTTAACAAAAGAATTGCATATGATCTCAATGGCGAGACATTCAATGTTTAAAATATATTAAAACTTTGATTAACTGGAGAATGACTAGTAAAATACGATACTTCTTGAAGTCTTGTTACATTTTCCAATGAATGCAAATCCTGTAAACATCCTTCCAACACAAAGAACACTATGCAACATACCCAGTCAAGAAATCTGATGTTTATGAAAATGTTTGATATGTAAGCAATAACATATAATAAATATAAATTTTATAATGAGAGTACTGATGTAAAAACCCTTTCAGATAATAACTACCTTCTGAAATTTCTGAAAAAGAAAAATGCAAGTGTCCTTTACCATTAATGAAATGATGCCTGTATCATACTGTTCACTCAGTATCTAACTAAAAAAAAAAAACAGCTATGCTCACATTACTAAAGCAGATCCCTCTCATTACTAATAAAGTTGCCACACTGCTATATCTCAAGATGCACTTCTTATTCATCAGCCTAAGTATTAAATTCAATAGTACAGAGACTGATGAACCAATGAGCAGACAGACAAAAAACCGAATAATGCACAGCTTATATTTAATATATAAGAACCATAGCTCTAATGGTGACAATTAAAGCAATCTTGTGACCATTTCAAAATCATTACTGAACACACAGACTGCTGAACAGGGCCTCAGATACAAGGTAAAATTACCAGTTTGTCTTATTACTTTTCCATATATGTAGTGGGTTTTGTATTACAAGCAATGATACAAATTATATATGTATTACAGTATTTTTGTTTTAAGTTCCCCTGATTGTGCTTATATTTACACAGGTTACAGAAAGGTTCAGATGTTACCCCCAGACAAATATAAACATAAAATGAGAAGCCAACATGCACAAGAGCTTTTACAGAAAAAATCACATGTACTGAACACATTTGTCTCAATGAGTAGAAAAGTAATAATCGTATAGAATAGTCCTAATGTGTTCAATTGCAAATAAGGATATAAATAGTTTTTAAAACAAAAAAAAATATATATATATGTATATATACTGAATTGAGTTTACATAAAGTCTTTAAATTTTAATATAAAATTTATAGTCATTCAAAATTTAAGACAATTATAAAAACTTTCATCATAGATATTTCTAGACTTAAGTGATGCCTTCAAATGCTGTAATTTTATAAAGTAAACTCTGTTATTCGTGGGGAGTTATGGATGCAAAAGCATACTACTTACAGTACTAAAGAAAAGACACAGATACATATTATTATAATAATTACTGTAGTGCATTCATGGGAAGAGCACTCAACTGGCAGCAATCACACTGCCAGGGGAATGGCAGGCAATCAAATCTGATCTAAGGAAAAGGAGGGTTAGTTTCAATTCTCTGAATCAAGAGCCCTTCACTGGCATCAAAGCATTTCCCATCAAGGTACAAGAAAGCTTTCAGTGTTACAAAGCTGTGTTGAGTTTCAAGTGAATGCACAAAGCAAAACACTGTCACATCAGCAGCTTGCTCTGCACCTGTCTTTTCTTCACAGGGGTTACATTCCTGGAGGCACTTTCAATAACAAAGTAGAAAAAAGATATGATGTGTTCTACGAGAATATTCTAGGTTTAATAAAATAATGAGTTACAATCAAAATGGTAGCATTTTGGCCCTGGGATGGAGTGACCAAATTCCCAAGACTGAAATGTTTCCAATGAAATGTTCTGGTGTTTGTATTTTTGTCTTTCCAAATAAAATTATACCTTATACAATACTGTAATACAGAACCTTCAATACTGTAATGCTATACTCACAAAATGCAGATGTAAGCCTGCATATCACTGCTTTCTGGGAAAAGTGATAGAGTACATCATATCAAGTTGTGATGATGTGCAACCTTATGCCAATTGTGGAGCTAATTTAACTCTAACGAAATACCTAACGAGTAAGCTATTTCTCGAATTACTTCTGAATAAACAAAATTCTGTAAGCATCCGCTTAGTTATTGAACAATGACACGAGTAGCAATGACTGCTACAGATGCTGCCCAACAAACAGAACTTTTTGACTGGTATTTTTGATGGACTACTGAATGCCACATTTTTTTCCTAATCTGTTCAGATTTAACATCCCAAGTGAAACATACCTATACAGCATAAGCATTTATGCACAACATGAAAACGCATTTCTTTTCTTTCACGTGTTTATGTTTTAATTTTAGCTGCCTGCTATAGACAGGACCTGCTAAGATACAGTACACTGATAATGAAGAGAATATTCAAGGTACCACCCACTGGAACATATCATGAATGGTGAAGAGGAACATACTGCAGAACAAGCTTGAATTAAGACAATTCACTCTGTATAGAGCTCTATACCGAAATGGTGTCCCAATAAAGGCTTGTTCTGTAATGTGTGCCTTTTCTTCACTATTGTCAGCAGTGCAACATTTGGATCCAACACACTCTGAATATCAGTATTTATATGAATACCAATGCCATGAATAACAGTTTTACTGCAGCCATTACTCAGCAATGGAATTAAGTTATTCCTACACAAAAAAAAAAGTTGTTTCCTTTATATTCTGTAAAAGATCAACTTCTTAAACCAGAGGCAATTCATTAGACATTAGTTAAGTAGTTATTCAGCTCAATACTTACTAAAAACCTATAAAAAGATAACAAGAGCACTATGTTTATTTGTTGTATATACTTTGTATTCTAATTTGCTTTCCATCTCCAAATTTTGCACTAAAAGATATCTATCCCAAAAGAACAAACAAGAAAGCCCTCACAAAATAAATGCAACTTCAATGGAAGCTCATTGTGCAATTTTCTGACAGACTTGGTAATTCACTTTACTAGCTACAACAAGCCAATTTTATTGACATAAAAGTAACAAGGAAAAATCCATGATTTTTCATGTAAATATTTTTCTAACACTCAAAAATATAAGAATATGAACAATGCAATTCAAGACATTCTTCTTAAGCTGAAGCTAGACAAATTTTTCAAGCCAAACTTACCACTGACAGAGCTTAACCTCATCAAATGTGAGCTACAACTTAATTCATTAACCAGGTGTTTTTGACCAAACTTAAGTATTGCTGTTTATTCTTGTATGTCAACATTTACACCAGAAGCAATAAAAGACGTTATATGCAGGTTCCATAACAAGGACCTAGAATAACAGCAAAGAACTTAAAAAAATCCCAAAACATTCACAGATAAAAGATTTTTTCTTTCATTTAGCAACATATTTCACTCTGATTATCACAACACATTCATGCATATGCTCAGGCTGCCACGGTTTCATCTACCTCGACAACTGCAGTCTTATATTAACATGTTAATCATTACAACTGCAAATTAAATAATGCTGAAACGAACATCCGAATATCCATGAATTAATGGTTTGTCGTGAATCTTTGAAGTCAGATTGCGTATTCGAATATTCGTTTTCACTACCAATCTATATCAAAACAAAACTTATTAAAATTATGTTTGGAACTAACTGAGATCGAAGTCATCTATCGATTCACACTGGAAGGCAACATGAGGCAATCCCAGATTTGTTCTGTGATGACTCTCTGAATTCTGATCTTAACCAGCCACTATTGTAGACACTTAACAGTCCTCTGGCAGATCAATGACTAATGTTCATTTAATGTGCTTAAAGACAAGAGTAGGGCAGAATGCCATTTGTGCAAAACTACGTTGGACTTCCGTGGCCCAACCTCAGACTTACAAAATTACAATTCAAACATCTTGCCATTATATAAATGGCATTTAAGAAAACAACATACACTTACCATCATCATCGTCCACATTTCCCCATTCTTCACTTTCACGAGTGGATAGGCACTTGCCCATTAAATTAATGATGTAAAAGCTTTATTAGGAAAAAAAAAAAAAGGGGGGGGGGGCGAAAAATATTAATGGTGAAACTTGGACTTCCATAATACCTTCCACACTTTGTAGTATCACAGAAACTAGTACCACCACAATAGTAAAATATGCAAGATATATCTCTGCTGTTTCACAAGTCTCAGCATGAGAAAAAGACAAGAGTATGAACATAAGCATACCTGGTAAAACTAAGATTTTAAATAATCATCGATAATTTTCAATGTTTTTTAAAAAACATACAAATGACAATAATTACCCTCTGCTGAGCTAAGTCCCATATGTACAGAGCACATCACTGGCTGTTGGTAAGGACATTGTTAATTTGTGTTAAACAAACGTGGCACACATTATGAACAATGGTCTGTAAATACGATTCATGTCAAAATGTGGCCTAATAAATTTTTTCTATTTAACTGAACAAGTGAAATTAGTATTCCCAGAATTATATTTATACAGTAAAACATTTGATGTCAATTATCCAATATTGACAGCAAAGTTCCTCTACTCAGAGCAATTTTTTTTTTCAACAAGTCGGCCGTCTCCCACCGAGGCAGGGTGACTAAAAAAGTAAGAAAATCCCCAAAGAAAATACTTTCATCATTCAACACTTTCACTTCACTCACACATAATCACTGTCTTTGCAGAGGCACCCAGATACAACAGTTTAGAAGCATATATAACATATCCCTCCAAACTGCCAATATCCCAAACCCCTCCTTTAAAGTGCAGGCATTGTACTTCCCATTTCCAGTACTCAAGTCCAGCTATATAAAAGTAACTGGTTTCCCTGAATCCCTTCACTAAATATTACCCTGCTCACACTCCAGCAGTTCGTCAGGTCCCCAAAACCATTCGTCTCCATTCACTCCTATCTAACATGCTTACACATGCTTGCTGGAAGTCCAAGCCCCTCGTCCACAAAACCTCCTTTACCCCCTCCCTCCAACCTTTTCGAGGACGACCCCTCCCCCACCTTCCTTCCTCTACAGATTTATACACTCTCCAAGTCATTCTCAGAGCAATGTTCATACTATATAACTGCCTGCAACACTGACAAATATTTGAATACAAATTCCATTTCAACAGTTATTCAAATAGCAAAATTAGGTATTCGTTTCAGCACCAAAATAAAGTCAGGCACACACATGGCAACAAAGTTGTTTACAACAATGGCAAGCCAGATCAAGAATGCAACCAGCTGAAGCTGTCTTACCATTAGGGCAACTATTTCTTATCAATACAATATCATTAAGGAAATTTTGTCAGAGTTTCAAGTCACAAGATGTTGTCAATTCTAGGTGTACTACATTACTTTAAATTCAATTGTTAACATCAGAATGTGTTTGGCCTGTGAAGAGCAGCCTTGATTATTACAGACCTCAAAAACAAAATAACTGTGGCATAACAAAATTCCTTCATAAAAATGCTTTATCACAATTTTAATAATTGGTTCTTAACAAGTCACTTTATTCAGAATAATGGGAAAGCTCAAAAATTATCAAAAAGCAAACAAATCAGCTTATCCAGAATGAAAGTACATCGGTTCAACTACACCATGGACAAATTAGGTTATTCTCAATGATGAAAACTTCATCCATACTGACCAGGCCAAGTTATCCATAACAAGGGTATATTAGCTCAACAATAAAAACACGTCTTCCACAATGTGAATAAGCCACATCATACTTGCTGTATGTTAATAAGGCCATTTTCAAAATCAGTGAATCAGACTGTTCACAAAATAGACAAAGGTTATCAACACTAAAATTGGGACATCCACAATGGCAATAAAAATAACCTTACTGTGTGTCAGGAAAGCCTCAGTGAAGAAAAACTAAGTCAAGATACAACTGGCCAAATTAATGTCATTCAGTCTATGTCAAATTTAATTCTCTGATGTCTAAGGAGCTAATCAGTCTTTTTATTCAGAATCAACAGACATATTATTTATAATTTGTGCAATAGTACGTAGTTCTAGATGTCTATATCAGTATTCATTGTCAATGTGTATTTACCAACATTTCTGCTTTCTAGTTTTTATCTGCAACAAACTTTTCTAAATATTTAAATGGTGAATTTCTGATTAATGCTGACCTTCCATTTTGGCCTCCATTTGTTCATACTGTATGCCTGTGTGCAAATTTCATGAATACAAAATTTCCAAAACTCCCAACAGTCTGATGTGACCATACAGTTATTTTTGTCTCCACACATCCACAGTTTCTATTATAAAAGATCATTCTATTCTTAAATATTCCAACATACAAAAACATGAAGTTGAACCTCTGACCTAACTCTTCTTCCCAGTTTCTGAATATCACTATAAGTAATTGAAGGTAAAAAAAATTAAAAGTAATTTTGGAGGTAATTAAGAGGAATCTAGCTCAGATAAGTTTATAGGCCATCATTACATTTTTCCTTTTTCCGAGCTAGGAAAATAAACATTCAGCATGGCCACTTTGGGAATTGTGCTTCCAAGTTCCTTCTTGGGATCTTTACATAATCTATCTTACACCAATATTTAAAAGTTTGCTTTGGGCCAACAAAGACAGCCCACCTTGCATCTAGACATACCTTCCAACACTGTGTGAATTAAATGTATTGTAAAAATCACACAACTGAAAGTAAACTGACAGGACCACTAAATCGCACACAGCCGAGAGAAACCTCTGCATTCGTGGAAGCCAGCTCTTCGGTAGGTACAGATTCAGGCAGAATTTTCAGAGAACTCAAAGGCTCCCTCATCTAAATTATTTCATCAATATGGCAGGATTTGGGATGTCAAATCAACTGCACCGACGAAGTCGTCCTGCATGACAGTGATGAAAAACAATGGGTTTAATACCATTAGGCTTAAAAGTCTATTCAGCACAGTCCTTCTAAAATACAATACACTTCCTCTTGTTCCTCCCATGTCCGGGCTTACTCTTCCCACGGTGTTCCCTCTGAAAAAAAAAAATGAAAAATAAATAAAATATACTTGTTAAGTATAGGTAATGAGGTTGAAGAGGTATGGGGTAGATTTAAGAATGCTGTTTTAGAGTGGGCAGCAGAAGTTTGTGGATACAGGAGGGTGGGTGGAGGAGGGAAGAGGAATAAGGTAAAGGGAGTGGTAAGTGAGAAGTTAGCATACGAGAGATTTATACAAAGCAAGTAAAGGGAGAGATATGGGAGAAAAAGTTAGCACGAGAGGAGCTTTTACAAAGCAGTAGCGATATAAGAAGGGTGGAGTATATGGAGAGTGAAAAAGAGATTAAGAAAGTGGTGACATAGTGAAATGGAGAGCAAATGAGAGTGGGTGAGGTTATCAACAAATTTTCCTGAAAATAAGAGTGAGATTAATAAGTTGAGTAAGCCTAAGGAACAAATAGATTTGACAGTTAAAGAGAAGAGGAGTTATTAGATGAGGAGCTGGAGGTATTGGGAAGATGGCAGGAATATTTTGAGCTGTTAAATATTGATGAAGGGAGGTAGTGATTTCATGCACTGGCCTGGGAGATATAACATCCATTAGGAGTAAGGAAGACCCAGATGTGTGGTGGAGGTGCATGAGGCACTGAGTAAAATGAAAGAGGGTAAAGTAACCAATACTGATGGGATCAAGACAGAAATGTTAAAAGTAGGTGGGGATATAGTTTGGAGTGGCTGGTACTTTTGTTTCAGTAAATTTATGAAAGAGGGGAAGATACGAAGCATGCACAGTTCCTTTGTATAAAAAAAAAGGGGGGGACAGAGAGAGTAAAAGTTAAAGGGGAATAAGCCTGTTGAGTTCTCCATGGGGAAGTGGAGCAGCATTCTTCCTCCGTAAGCCATGCGTGTCGTAAGAGGCGACTAAAATGCCAGGAGCAAGGGGCTAGTAACCCCTTCTCCTGAATACATTACTAGATTTAAAAAGAGAAACTTGCATTTTTCTTTTTGGATCACCCTGCCTTGGGGTGGGATATGGCCAGTTTGCTGAAAGAAGCCTGTTGGGTATATCTGGTCAAGTGAATGGTCAAGTTATTACTGAAAGAATTAAAGGCAAGAAAAGAGCAGGATCCCAGCTGAACAAGGAGGCTGTGGGAAGGGTAAGGGATGTGAAGACCAAGTCTTTACATAGAAGCATATTAGTGAACAATATTTAGAGAAAGGTAAGGAAGTTTTTATTTTATTCATGGATTTTGAAAAGGCAGATGATAGGGTGGATAGGGGAGCAATGCGGCAAATGCTGCAACTGTATGGAAAAGATGGTAGGTTACTGAATGCAGTTATGAGTTTTTATGATGGTAGTGAGGGTGTGTAAATGTAAAAAGTTGAAAGTGAACATAGGAGTAAGATGATGAGAGTATCAAATGATTTAGATGTCACATTGGAGGGAAGGAGTATGGAAGAAGTGAATGTGTTCAGATATTTGGGAGCTGACTTTTCAGCAGATGGGTTTATGAAGGATGAGGTAAACCACAGAACTGAAGGAAAAAAGGTGATTGGTGCATTGAGGTATCTGTGGAGACAAAAAAAACGTCATCCATGGAGGCAAATAAGTGAATGTACGAGAGTATAGTGGTACCAACACTCTTATATTAGTATGAAGCATGGGTTGTAAATGCTGCAGCGAGGAGGAGGCTGGAGGCAGTGGAGATGTCGAGTCTAAGGGTAATGTGTGGTGTAAATATTATGCAGAGAATCCATAGGGTGGAAATTAGGAGGAGGCTTGGAGTTACTAAAAGTATTAGTCAGAGGGCTGAAGAGGGGTTGTTGAGGTGGTTTGGTCATTTAGAGAGAATGGAACTTGAGTCCTGGAAATGGGAAGTACAATGCTTGCATTTTAAAGGAGGGGTTTGGGATACTGGCTGTTTGGAGGGACATCTAAACTGTCATATCTGAGTGCCTCTGCAAAGACAGTGATTATGTATGAGTGATGGTGAAAGTGTTGAATAATGATGAAAGTTTTATCTTTCTTTTTTTAATTTTTCTTCCTTTTTTTGGGTCACCCTGCCTCAGTGGGAAATAGCCGACATGTTAAAAAATAAAAAGTGAGGATCATGTTAAGGTGTGTAGGAGAGAGAGGAAGATTATTTTCCAGTACAAGCAGGCCTTAGACAGGAATGCATGATGTCACCATGGTTGTTCAGTATATTTATAGATGGGATTGTAAAAGTGAATGCTAGGGAGTTGGGGAGAGGTGTGGAATTAAAATATGCAGAATCTAATACAAAATGGAAGTTATCAAAGTTGCTTTTTGCTGATGACACTGTGCTTTTAGGAGATTATGAACAGCTGTAAAGGTTGGTGGACAAATTTGAGAGGGCATGTCAATGAAGGAAAAGCAGGGTGATGAGGGTAACAATTTAAGTAATGAAACATTGGATATCAGATTGGAAGAAGGAAATATGGAAGAAGTGAATGTATTTAGATATCTGGGAGTAGATTTGTCAGCAGATGTGTTTATGAAAGATGATATGAACCACAGAACTGTTGAAGGGAAAAAGGTGAGTGGTGCACTGAGGCATCTGCAGAGACGAAGAACATTATCCATGGAGGCAAAAAGGGTAATGTATGAGAGAATAGTACCACCAACATTCTTATATGGGTGTGAAGCACGGGCTGTGAATGTTGCAGGAAGGAAGAGGCTGGAGACAGTGGAGATGTCTTATCTGAGAACAATGTGTGGTACAGTGGAATCTCATTTTTCATATGCCCTAGTTGGAGACAATTCTTGGAGAAAATTCTCCATAAAATGTATTTTTTGGCAATATTTTTGGGTGTCTGGAACAGATTATTTGGTTCCATTCCAGACACCTAAAAATATTAACATAAAATACATTTTATTGAGAATTTTCTCCAAGAATTGTTTCCAACTAGGGCATACAAAAACAGAGGTTCCACTGTATATTATGCAGAGAATTAGTAGCTTGGAAATTAGGTGGCAGTGTGGTGTTACTAAAATTATTATCCAAAGGGTTGAGAAGGGGTTGTTGAGACAGTTTGGACATTTAGAAAATTGGAGCAAAATAGGATGACTTAGAGAGTGTATAAATTTGCAATGGAGGGAAGGTAGGGTAGGGAGGTCACCCTAGGTAAGGTTGGAGGAATGTAGTAAAGGTTTTGTGTGTGAGAAGCTTGGACATCCAGCAGGTGTGTGTGAGCATGACAGACAGGAATGAGGTAAGGCAAATAGTTTTTGAGACTTGATGAGCTGTTGAAGTGTGAGGAAGGTAACATTCAAGGTTAGCCAGACCTGAGCCCTGGAGGCAGAAAGTACAGTGCCTGCACTCTGAAGGAGGGGTGGGGGCAGGGATATTTGCAGTCTGGAGGGGCATCTAAACTCCAGTAATGCCATGCCTCTGGCAAGACAGGGATAAAAGTGAATAATGATAAAAGGGTTTGTTCTTTCTTGGGTCACTACCTCAGTAGAAGGTGGCCATTAAAATTATTACAATCATAACTAAGTGCTCAACTCATGGGAGACAGCCAGTGTATAAAAAAAAAAAAAAATGCACTCAGCTCCTTTCCCCTTCTCCTCCTGTTTTTAGAATGTCAGCAAAATAACATTTATGATGGGATTCAGGGAAACTAGTTAACCAGACTTGAGTCCTAGAGGCAGAAAATACCTACACTCTGGAGGGGTGGGTGGAATGTTGTAGTTCAGAGGGTCATTTGATTTGTGATGTCTGCACACACCTCTAGCAAGACAGCTATTGAATAAGTGATGGTAAATGCGGTTCCCATTTTCTGGGTCAGCTACTTCTCTTACAGCCAGTGTTTTAAAAAATCAGATAGTTATAATTTTGATTTCTCTGTATAAGAATGCTCCAACATAGTATGCACCATAATCCTTTACTTTCTAAGTACAGTACTTTTCAACATCGTGATCACCTGTAGATTTAATTAACCTAGTGTTCTGTTTCTTTTCTCATTCTGTATTTCAGTCAGCCAAGAAGGCAAGTGGACCTCAGTAGTTAACTTCAGATGTAATTCCATACGAGGTGTACCATTAAACTTAAGGGAGATGTCCTGTTCAGATCAAGTGAATATGCGTAACTGGCTAGCAGTGTGGTGCAAATCGTCTCAGCCAAGCTGTACTTGGTTAATGGGGCAAAGTTCAGTACCTACAATGCTCAATGGCTAAGTACTGCACAATATATAGCTATATGTACTTACATCTTTCCGGATCTCTCTAACTAAAGTATAAAAGGCATCATCAACACCCATACGGGTCTTAGCAGAGGTCTCTATGAAAGGAATGTCGTAATTCTTGGCCACTTCCCGCGCCTGTTGCATGTCCATTGCACGCACCTGGAGATCGCATTTGTTGCCCACCACTGCAAGGAAAAAAAGAGGCAAGACTAAATAACAACACAGTACATTACTATTTTATGTAGGCTACACAAAAAAGAGACCAGCTTGGTCTATTTTTTGTGCAGCCAAAACAGTGGTAACTTAAATTATAATGACATATACCTGAAGAGAAAACTAATGTTCTAGACAAGTGTTTCTCAGCCAATTTGCCAGATGACGTATCAGTTGTTTAAGGTTCATACTGTTCGTGGTGGCCACCAGTGGTGGGCACAGCTATCCAAAAAGTTAGCTTTGCTAATCTGCTAACTAAAAAATTAGCTCCTCTAATGCTAAACCGCTTAATGGCCAAAAAAATTAGTGGAACCTAACGCTAAACACTAACTTTTTCACACGATTTCAGATTCGGTTTAGTTTTTTGGTCTTTTACTTTTACGACTTTTAGAACAGACCTGGAGAGCTTCCTAATAAGATACAGAATGCCAAGGTCATATGATGATCAACTGCAGCTAGTGTGAAAATAGCGAGTGTTTCATTTTGTGATGTAATGCGAGCGACCAACAAGGACACACTTGTTGCTGTACTGAAGCCCCATAGCACCTAAACAGATTGAGTTAGCTTATTTGACTGTTTTCTTCATTAGTTCCAGTTACTCATGGTATTCGTTCATTTTATTCTCTTTCTGTTCATGTTTGCATTTAACTTCATTTAGATTTTGAACCCAATAAACTACAAACAAGTAACTGAAAATCGCACTTAAAGTTGAAACCTTGAAGTCAACTTATCACTGCACCAACAGTACAGCCATATAGGTGCACACAAATAGTTAAATGAACAAATGAAATCAAATATCAATTTAAATCCAACATACAGTTTATTTACTGTACAAAATGCATAGCATGGGTATCATGCCAGGATCAGATGATGGCTGGGCCTTCTCCATCGCTTTGATGTGATGCTGGTTGCCTTTCATGAGCATCAGCCTCTTAAAGTTTCCATCTGATAGAGTGGCTCTCTTGGCCCTCAAGATATATTTACTTATAGAGAACAGGCGCTCAACTGGATGGGATGGCGATGTTGTACTTAATGAGTAAGTCAATCAAGACCTGCTCACCCAAGAAGGCGACTTCACTCGCGACCTCCTTCGAGCCGGTCTCCAGCCAGGTCTTCACCATGCTCCGTGCCTTCAACTTCAGTGACCTGTGGCTTCTGCTGGCCCGAACTGAGTGATACTGCTGAAAAAGTCATCTTCTTCATCCTCATTAGTGGTGCTGCTGCTCTCCTCATGGTTTTCCCACTACCAACAACGAATTAATTTTTTTTTTTGCAGACTCAAAGTTAGCGGAACTTTATTTAGTGGAAGCTAATTGGTCAGCTTCTTCTCTTTTTTAGTAGGAGGGGTGTTAATGTTGCAGTTTAAAAACTGTAGTGTAAAGCACCCTTCTGGCAAGACAGTGATGGAGTGAATGATGGTGAAAGTTTTTCTTTTTCGGGTCACCCTGCCTTGGTGGGAATCGGCCAGTGTGATAATAAAATAAAAATAAATAATTGGTCAGCTAACAGTTTCCGAAGTTAGCGGAAACACTAATCCGTTAAATTAAGTTCCGCTAATTAGTAGTTAGCGAATTAGAGGAACTGTGCTCACCAATGGTGGCCAAAGACAACAGCTCACTGTTGGACAAGCTCTGTTCTAGACAAATAATGAAAATGACTAAAGGTTTGTGGGGAACAGCTACCAGAGAATATAACATTAAACCAAGACAGGGCAGATGATCCCAAGATATATGACTGTTAATTAATCAAATTTTGTCCTATCTATTTATTCCATGAAGGTGTTTCCACATCAAGGTTATAAAATTTATTCTACGTGGGTATACTTCAGGCCTAGAGATGCAAAATTTATTTCCATGTATGTACATATAAAACTTCATATGTGAAATTTGTGCCACACAACAGGTATGAAAGTCCTGCCTTCCAGGCATATCTGAGTCTTAATTCTTTATACAAAACACAAAAACAAAAAGATCACCGTGAACAAGAACATGAAGTGAATCAATATGAAAAAGTTATTCCATGCTAGTAAAATGGAAGGCCTACATATATTGGGTGTATTAAAATCTCCTTATGCTTTTTAAAACTGAATGTATCCTGCATATACACGTACAATGGTACTTCGAGTTTCGAACAGCTCCCAACTCAAACAATTATGTAAGTTTATTTTTGTAAGTGCTTTTGTAAGTGTATTTTTGGGGGTCTGAAACGGGCTAATCTAATTTACATTATTTCTTATGGGAACAAATTTGTTCGGTATCGGCACTCTAACAACCTTCTGGAACGAATTAAGTTCGTAACTCGAGGTACCACTGTACCACCAAATAGAAAAAATGGACATTCTCAAAAATATGCTACTATACACTATATGCTGTACCAGCTACACTGTAAAATACACTAATGCATCCTTATCCCACTATTAACAGTACATGTGTAGGGATCAACAATAGGGACTGCACTTTACAATATCCAAGTCACTAATCACATAACAAAACAGCCCTAGGAAACAACTTGGACAATGCACACACCCAGTATAATAACAAAACTACTGAACATCTGAGGCTATTCATATATACAGGTTGCATCGCTAATCTGGCATCATCGGGACCTGTAGAATGCCAGATTAGTGATTTTGCCAGATTACAGAGCGGTCAGGTTAGAAGATACTTAACCCAACGACGATATTTACGCATTGGCAATTTCGCCCACTTTACGCCCTATTTTTGGCAAATGCCACTGTTCCAGTCTACCAACTCATGGCTATTTCACTAATATTCATTCTATTATGTAGATCAAGTACAAGAAACTGCCCATTTACCTATTTCAACTACCCAATAAAGTGGTCAGAAATTGGTAATTTGGCCAATTTCACACAAATTTCAAAAGATGACAATTTCAAAACAGAGGCCAGAATAAACAATGCAGAAATTCCTGGCACTAAAATAACATTTTCTCTGTTAATTAGTCACATCTTCAAGCCTCTCTTATATTATGCTTGCTTTCCATTTTGAAATTTTTATTCACACAAAAATAGAAGATTTACTGTTATGCAGACTACTGCATTATTGTAATAATTGTATAAATAATGTCAACCCATTTGTGACTGTGTATCAGCCCAGCCAGTTGAACAGACATTTGAAGGCGATGTCATTTGTTTACTCGAACAATGGCAAAAATCGAACATTTGGCCTACTTTTAGCTCAATTTCAAGGTACTTTCCTTCATGAAACCAAACATTTCCCCTAATTTTAGGTCAATTTCAAGGTACTTTTGTGAAACCAATCAAAATCATATCTATTTCTGTAATATATCTTCCATTTTATCAAACAAACACCCTAGCATTTACTTCTTTTACAACCCCATCTATAAATATATTAAACAACCATGGTGACATTACACATCCCTGTCTAAGACCTACTTTTACCGGGAAGTATTCTCCCTCTCTTCTACACACCCTAACCTGAGCCTCACTATCCTCATAAAAGCTCTTTACAGCATTTAGTAACTTACCACCTATTCCATATACTTGCAACATCTGCCACATTGCTCCTCTATCCACTCTATCATATGCCTTTTCTAAATCCATAAATGCAATAAAAACTTCCCTACCTTTATCTAAATACTGTTCACATATATGCTTCAATGTAAAGACTTGATCTACATATCCCCTACCCACTCTGAAGCCTCCCTGCTCATCCGCAATCCTACATTCTGTCTTACCTCTAATTCTTTCAATTATAACCCTACCGTATACTTTTCCTGGTATACTCAGTAAACTTATTCCTCTATAATTTTTACAATCTCTTTTGTCCCCTTTCCCTTTATATAAAGGGACTATACATGCTCTCTGCCAATCCCTAGGTACCTTCCCCTCTTTCATACATTTATTAAACAAAAGTACCAACCACTCCAACACTATATCCCCCCCTGCTTTTAACATTTCTGTCATGATCACATCAGTTCCAGCTGCTTTACCCCCTTTCATTCTACGTAATGCCTCACGTACCTCCACCACACTTACATTCTGCTCTTCTTCACTCCTAAAAGATGGTATACCTCCCTGGCCAGTGCATGAAATTACTGCCTCCCTTTCTTCCTCAACATTTAAAAGTTCCTCAAAATATTCTCGCCATCTACCTAATACCTCCCTCTCCCCATCTACTAACTCCCCTACTCTGTTTTTAACTGACAAATCCATACTTTCCCTAGGCTTTCTTAACTTGTTTAACTCACTCCAAAATTTTTTCTTATTTTCATTAAAATTTCTTGACAGTGCCTCTCCCACTTTTTCATCTGCTCTCCTTTTGTACTCTCACCACTCTCTTCACCTTTCTTTTACTCTCCATATACTCTGCTCTTCTTATAACACTTCTGCTTTGTAAAAACCTCTCGTAAGCTACCTTTTTCTCTTTTATCACACCCTTTACTTCATCATTCCACCAATCACTCCTCTTTCCTCCTGCCCCCACCCTCCTATAACCACAAACTTCTGCCCCACATTCTAATACTGCATTTTTAAAACTATTCCAACCCTCTTCAACCCCCCCACTACTCATCTTTGCACTAGCCCACCTTTCTGCCAATAGTCGCTTATATCTCGCCCGAACTTCCTCCTCCCTTAGTTTATACACTTTCACCTCCCTCTTACTTGTTGTTGCCACCTTCCTCTTTTCCCCATCTACCTCTTACTCTAACTGTAGCTACAACTAAATAATGATCCGATATATCAGTTGCCCCTCTATAAACATGTACATCCTGGAGCCTACCCATCAACCTTTTATCCACCAATACATAATCTAACAAACTACTTTCATTACGTGCTACATCATACCTTGTATATTTATCCTCTTTTTCATAAAATATGTATTACTTATTAGCAAATTTCTTTCTACACATAGCTCAATTAAAGGTGATGAGAGTATCAAATGATTTAGATAAAGAAAAATTGGATATCAAATTGGGGAGGAGTAGTATGGAAGAAGTGAACGTTTTCAGATATTTGGGAGTTGACATATCAGCGGATGGATTTATGAAGGATGAGGTGAATCATAGAATTGATGAGGGAAAAAAGGTGAGTGATGCGTTGAAGTATATGTGGAGACAAAGGACATTATCTATGGAGGCAAAGAAGGGAATGTATGAAAGTATAGTGGTACCAACACTCTTATATGGGTGTGAAGCTTGGGTTGTAAATGATGCAGCGAGGAGGCGGTTGGAGGCAGTGGAGATGTCCTAAGGGCAATGTGTGGTGTAAATATTATGCAGAAAATTCGGAGTGTGGAAATTAGGAGAAGGTGTGGAGTTAATGAAAGTATTAGTCAGAGGGCTGAAGAGGGGTTGTTGAGGTGGTTTGGTCATTTAGAGAGAATGGAACAAAGTAGAATGACATAGAGAGCATATAAATCTGTAGAGGAAGGAAGGCGGGGTAGGAGTCGTCCTCGAAAGGGTTGGAAGGAGGGGGTAAAGGTGGTTTTGTGGGCAAGGGGCTTGGACTTCCAGCAAGCATGTTAGATAGGAGTGAATGGAGACGAATGGTATTTGGAACCTGATGAGCTGTTGGAGTGTGAGCAGGGTAATATTTAGTGAAGGGATTCAGGAAAACCGGTTATTTTATATAGCCGGACTCGAGTCCTGGAAATGGGAAGTACAATGCCTGCACTTTAAAGGAGGGGGTTTGGGATATTGGCAGTTTGGAGGGATATGTTGTGTATCTTTATATGTATATACAGTGGCCCCTTGCCTAACAAACACATCGCATAACGTTAAATCCGCCTAGCGATACATTTTAACACAAAAATTTTGCCTCGGCTAGCGCTAAAAAACTCGCTCAATGCGATTCGTTCGAGACGCTTCGACGTGCGCCCTGAGCCCGCCTCACTTGTTCCGTGGGTGCCAGTGTTTACAAGCCAGCCACCGCGGTCGCTTCCAAGCATACAATCAGAACATTTCATATTATCACAGCCTTTTTAGTGACTGCACCTGCAAAATAAGTCACCATGGGCCCCAAGAAAGCTTCTAGTGCCAACCCTACAGGAAAAAGGGTGAGAATTACCATGGATATGAAGAAAGAGATCATTGCTAAGTATGAAAGTGGAATGCGTGTCTCCGAGCTGGCCAGGTTGTACACAAAACCTCAATCAACCATCGCTACTATTGTGGCCAAGAAAACGGCAATCAAGGAAGCTGTTCTTGCCAAAGGTGCAACTTTGTTTTCAAAACAGAGATCGCAAGTGATAGAAGATGTTGAGAGACTGTTATTGGTGTGGATAAACGAAAAACAGATAGCAGGAGATAGCATCTCTCAAGCGATCATATGTGAAAAGGCTAGGAAGTTGCATGACGATTTAATTAGAAAAATGCCTGCAACTAGTAATGTGAGTGAATTTAAGGCCAGCAAAGGTTGGTTTGAGAGATTTAAGAATTGTAGTGGCATACATATGTGATAAGGCATGGTGAGGCTGCCAGTTCGGACCACAAAGCAGCTGAAAAATATGTGCAGGAATTCAAGGAGTACAAAGACAGTGAAGGACTGAAACCTGAACAAGTGTTTAATTGTGACAAAACAGGCCTGTTTTGGAAGAAAATGCAAAACAGGACCTACATTACTGAGGAGGAAAAGGCACTCCCAGGACATAAGCCTATGAAAGACAGGCTTACTCTGTTGATGTGTGCTAATGCTAGTGGTGATTGCAAAGTGAAGCCTTTATTGGTGTATCACTCTGAAACTCCCAGAGTGTTCAGGAAAAACAATGTCCTCAAGGCTAATTTGTGTGTGCTGTGGAGGGCAAACAGTAAGGCATGGGTCACTAGGGACTTTTTCTATGACTGGTTACACCATGCATTTGCCCCCACTGTGAAAAATTACCTAATTGAAAAGAAATTAGACCTTAAGTGCCTCCTGGTATTAGACAATGCTCCTGGTCATCCTTAAGACGTGGCAGAGACTTTCTGTGGAAATGAGCTTCATTAAGGTCAAGTTTTTGCCTCCTAATACCACTCCTGCAGCCCATGGACCAGCAGGTCATTTCCAACTTCAAGAAACTGTACACGAAAGCTATCTTTGAAAGGTGCTTTGTAGTGACCTCAGAAACTCAATTGATAAGAGTTTTGGAGAGATCACTTTAGCATCCTCAACTGTGTAAACATTAAAGGTAAGGCTTGGGAGGAAGTGACTAAGAGGACCTTGAACTCTGCTTGGAAGAAACTGTGGCCAAAATGTGTAGACAAAAGGGATTTTGAAGGGTTTGAGGCTAACCCTGGGAATCCTATGCCAGTTGAGGAATCCATTGTGGCATTGGGGAAGTCCTTGGGGTTGGAGGTTAGTGGGGAGGATGTGGAAGAGTTGGTGGAGGAGGACAATGATAAACTAACCACTGATGAGCTGCTGGATCATCTTCAACAGCAAGAGGCCAGACCTGAGGAAACTGCTCCGGAGGAGGGGATAGAGAAACTGAAGTTGTCTACTTCAAAGATTAAAGAAATGTGTGCAATGTGGCTTAAAGTGCAAACCTTTTTTGATGAAAATCAACCTCATACAGCTATTGCAAGCCATGTTGGCAACCTGTACACTGACAATGTTGTGAAACACTTTAGGAATGTCATAAAGGAACGGGAGGTACAGGCCTCTATGGACAGATATGTTGTGCGACAGAGGTCCAGTGACTCTCAAGCTGGTCCTAGTGGCATTAAAAGACGGAAAGTAACCCCGGAAAAGGACTTGCCACCTCAAGTCCTAATGGAAGGGGATTCCCCTTCTAAACATTAACACCATCCACAGTCTCCCCTCCTCCCATCCCATCAATCATCACCAGATCTTCAATAAAGGTAAGTGTCATGTAACTGTGCATGTCTTCTTCAGTTTGTATATTAAAATTAATATTTCATGTTGTAAAAATTTTTTTTTTTGTTCATACTTTGGGGTGTCAGGAACGGATTAATTTGATTTCCATTATTTCTTATGGGGAAAATTAATTCGCCTAACGATAATTTCGCCTAACGTTGAACTCTCAGGAACGGATTAATAGCGTTAGGCGAGGGTCCACTGTACTTCTAAACTGCTGTATTCTGAGCACCTCTGCAAAAACAGTGATTACGTGTGAGTGAGGCGAGTGTTGAATGATGAAAGTATTTTCTTTTTCGGGAGTTTCTTTCTTTTTGGGTCACCCTGCCTCGGTGGGAGACGGCCGACTTAAGAAAAAAAAAAATACGAAAATACACTACAAAGTCACTGTTTTACACAACTGCAGTTTTTTCTCATTATGCACTGCACGCTGCAGGATTTTTTTTACAAAGTGCATACTTACCACAGATCTATTATCTCATATATAGGCCCAAATTTACCAGTCACAGCTTATCTGAGTGTGCTGAGCTCATGGCAACCAACAGTGGCTTCAAAGCCACCTTATCTTTTATGGACAATGTACATTGTATGTACCCTACACAACGAGAAGCATTTCTTTTATTCATTGGAACTATGGCTAGGACTGAAAGTGAGCAGGTTATAACAATAAATGGAGAAAAACAAACTGGAATGACTTATGCAGTAAGTAGCGCTACCAAACAGTAGTGGCAGGTTGGTGTAGTGACCCTGGAAATTTGAAATTATGCTAGCCGAAATTAGCACCAGATTACTGATGGAACCGGATTACTGATTGCCGACCTGTACTATATTACTGAATAAACTACATTCACAGGACCTTGAATACTAATGCTAACAGAGTCCTAAAACTCTTACTGGAGAGCTGTAATAATTACAAGTGAAAAACACAAGGGAAAAACCTTCCTTGATATCCCATAGGTACTTTCATATACAAATTAATTATAACATCAGATACAGCTTTTACTTACAAACCATGGGCACCACCTCGGCATCTTTAACTCTCTTTATCTGTTCACGGTATGTACTTATATCTTCAAATGATTTTGCATTGTTGACGGCAAATACAAGCAGAAACCCTTCCCCTGTCCGCATGTACTGGTCCCGCATTGCACTGAAAATTAGAAAGGGATGGTATAATCGTAAACATCAAATTTTGTCATAATTTAACACTGGCTTTATTTTTTTCCAAGGGAAGGTGGAAAAGAATCCTTCCTCCATAAGCTACATGTGTTGTAAGAGGTGCCTAAAATGCTGGGAGCAGGGGGCCAGTAACCCTTTCACTTCTATATATATTACTAAGTATAATAAAAAATACTTGTCTTCTTTTTTGGGTTGCCCTGCCTCAGAGGGAGAAGGCCAATGTGTTAAAAAAAAAAAAGGGGGGGGGGGGGCACTTTATGTCTGGGAAAATTATTTAATCAGAGCCAATGCTAAGTACTGTAGAGTAAAATGACACAGAATAATAGACAAACATGGAATGTAATAAATCAACCAAAAATTAAGCCTGTAACACTATGTATATTCAGGAGAAAGAGCTAGACCCATAGGGATTATACAGCACCTGGAGGTAAGCAGGCCTGATCCAAGGAAAAGGTAGCTCCAATCCCTTGGATCAAGAGCCCTTCATGAGCATCATGGAACCCCTTCCTTGAAGGGCAATGCTGCTGTAATTAACTTGTAAAAGAGAAAAAGTAAGTCACATGCAGTATTTAGTAGCAGTAGTAGTGACATTTACAGAACACTATGACCAAGTAGGTCACTCTGTACTCATATCCACTAACACATGAAGTATTTGGAAGACCCTGGAGGATATAAAATGGCAAAGATACAAGAAAGTATGTATTAAAAAACTGCACAAAGAGTAGATACAAAGGTGCACTGTTGAGAGAATTGAAGAAAAGACACAGGTGCAAAGCAAGCTTTTACTTTGACAAGGTTTCACTCAAAGAGATTTTTCAAACCAGTGATTAGATAAAACTTAAATCATTGATTTACTACAACTAAAGAGAGAGAGAGAGAGAGAGAGAGAGAGAGAGAGAGACTGCTTGACAGAGTAGAGAACAGAGCAAGACGTCTCATCTCTCGTCTGGGCCCATCCTGGATAGATCTGTCATTTCAGCAGAGCCTTCAACACAGGAGGGATGTGGGTGGCCTTACTGTTATGTACAAGGCCAATATTGTCAAAGTACCACCCTTGGATCCACTTCGAGGACAGCGTGAAACAAGCTTTTATGCCACAAGATGGGCAGAAAGCAGCAACTTCACTCTGGCTGTACCCTTCTCCAGAACATCACTCCATCTGAGATCATATATACCCAGGATGACTCGAGTATGGAACACATTCGTACAGCATAATGATATCAATGAGATAAAGTCAGCTGATCAAATGAAAATGCTGGCCCACAGATGGCTCCAACTTCATCCTGTTCCCTACTTGTATGTCTCATAACAATAAAAATGCTTTCAAATGAGCTGATGTAGGTAACAGCTCTTAGCTTGCCAATAAAGTCAGGAATCTTTAACCTGTAAATAGCTTGTCAGTAAAGCTAGGGATCCTTAACCTAACCTTGTCAAACCCTGTGTACAAAAAAAAAAAGAGAGAGAGAGAGACAATGTCACAACAAGGGACTGGATTTTTAGAAGATAATGCATGGCAGGATTGCAAGACAAGTGCAAATGTCGTGGAAAAATATTATGACTGGCAAGAATGGTACACTTGTCTCATAACATTGCAATAACAAATAAACATATTAAAAAATACTGTTTTCATTTACCTGTATCTAAATACTGTAAATAAAAATGCTTTCATTTCATATAAATTTTGGAGAAAATTGTACTTGAGCGAAGGTATTTTCTATGAAACCTATACGCAGTATACACAGAGGGGATTTTTCAAGATAAAGAAGTCATCAAAAAAAATATAAGATGAAAAATTTATAATTAGTTTCTTAATTTGTATAATATATAGTCCAAACATCAAGAGATACTAGACTGTCAGGACAACCTGGCAGTTCCCACAGATTACCAATGTATGGAATATTAAGTTCCGGAAGTTGAGTTTTGCTGAAGCAGTCAATGACTCAGCATGTACAGTAACAGATTTAATCAGTCACTACATATAGTAATGAATTAATGCTAGTAGGACAACTTAAAAAAATACTGCATGTACACACACTTCCTTAAAATGAGAATACCATTACTGTATCAGTATCATAAATTCTTGGCTATTTCTTATTAGCTGTACCTGTATTCTTCTTGCCCAGCCGTGTCGAGGATGTCCAACAGACATGTCTCCCCGTCAATGACCACCTGCTTGCGATAAGAATCTTCTATTGTTGGATCGTATTCATCAACAAAGCTGAAGAATAAAATGAATAATATAATCATTATTTTTGTTAAATCACCTTTATATACAATATGCTTTGTAAAATCTACTTTCCACTTACAGCTCACATGAAACCTGCCTGACAGTTCCACTGTAAATTTACGTAAAACAATATAAGCATATACAGTATGTTTAAACCTTTAATCATAAATGACACTTACACAATATGTAATACAAATAACTGGGAAAGTAGGCAAGTGGTTATTAAATCCTCAGCTATCTCATCCCAAAATAAATAATCCAGTGTGAAAAGCACTGTCCCCAAAAGAACAAAACTCATTTGAATACTACTTCTCATCCTTACATACTGAATACTGACAAATTTGTGTTGAATCATTCTTTATGAGAACTCTTAAACTCAAACATTATGCAACATCATTCATACCAAATAACAACAGCCAACTGTAAGAATAACCTAATCAATCAGACTGTTAACTAAGCATGACTAGAGGCTATATATGATAATTGTACTTATGTGTATCTATGCCTAAATAAACTTACTTAGCCTCCTGACCAATAACTTCATGATCAGTGATACAGAGGACTAGGATGCATGTATTCTCTAGTGCTTTGAGAAAGGATACTTTCTACCTGTTGTGGTGATGGGAGTAATACATGTCTCATGGTGTCCTTTAACACATTAATGAAATATGCAAATTTAAAGGATTCCAGAGAACAGGAGACCATGTGAATTTTGAGGCAAAATATTAAAAAAAAAAATAGAGGCTTTGTTTACATTATAATGGTCAAGAGCACTTAGTCAAACACAGCATAGAGAAAATGAATGAACTGACAGGATAGAAAGACAAAACTGAAACAAAACCAGGTAAGGCAGGAAGGAATGGTAGACAAATTTAATAAGGTAAACAAAAATTTGAGTTTGTATTCAGATTTGCATTAATTTATATATTGTATTACAATTGTATGGTGTATAACTTGTAGCACCCTTCAATATTGTAAGCTCATGTGGTGAAAAAAAAATTAAGTATTTTTTATTTAATACAGCAGCCATTACCCACCAAGGCAGGGTGACCCAAAAAAAGAAACACTTCCATCACCACTCACTCCATCACTGTCTTGCCAGAGGCACACTGATAATACAGTTTAAAAACTGCATGACATCTCTGCCCCTATATGCTACTATTTCTGCAAGAAACAGCAAGACATTGTGGACTGACACACAAACATAGTCCTCATCAAATATAATATCCAATAAATTGGAAAATTAATTACCAACATTTCTCCTTCAACATAAATAACTGAAAGAAATACTAAGTAATGCCAGAACTAAAATACTATACTCACTGATTTTGAATAAGCTGAATGGTGAGTGCGCTCTTTCCCACGCCACCAGCTGTTCAGTGATAAACAACTTATCATAAGCGTAAAATCGGAAAATTACAAACTAAAAAAAGTTACATACTGCATGCTAGTAGCTTTCTTTTGTGCCTACCAATATTTTATTACATATAAATTACAGTGCCTGTATACTGCAGAAAAATAAATTTACTATTAATTATTATTATTAATGCAGAGTTTAAGGTCTCTGTTTTAACCAAGTGAATTGAGCAATAGGGACAATCATATTTTATGTATATAGGGAACACCCATCAACTGGCAGAGGAAAAGCAATCCAACCTAACCTAACCTAGATTTAGAGAGGAATTCTAGAACAGGACAGGATTATTTCTGGGTTGCCAAGTATAACAGTCTCCGGTGCATAACCCACTTAAAATCGGGGAATTTATGCAATTAAAAAACTTAAGGGCCCTCGGACTCAACATTAACCCAACACAGTATTATACACAATTCCAAACACATGTAAATTGATAAGCCTGTGTAATCAACTCACGATTAACCATATATCAGTTTGTGGTAAAGAATCTCTCCTCTTTCACTGGAAAGCATGTGAGAGTCTACAAAAATCTTGATATATATACCAAAGTTTCAATTAAGGTTGTGTATACATATTTTTCACACTGGTCTTCATGGGAAGCATAAATCTGCTGGGGTCAAAGCCTTGGAAATGGGATGTAAAATTGATACAAGGAAGGGGAGGGTAGCTCCAATTCCTTGGATCAGGTGCTCTTCACTAGTAACAATGCACATCTGAGGGAGGGTGCTATTAATGCAAAAACAAAAAGTTAATTATATAATCAAAAAATACACTGTTTTTAGTAACTCACTGTTATTATTATTCAAAACTAAGCGCTAAACACACAAGGGTCACTCTCTCTAGTAATTCAAATCCAGAACTGATCCATTCTTCGAGCAGCACAGGACAAGCAATAAATACAAATCTGAACTTATGTCGTTTTAAGTAAAAGATTTTTTCTAATATTCGTGAGGTAGCGCCAAACCCGTAAGGGTCACAGCGTCTAGGGAATGGGAGGTTATCATCATGTTTGACCCAACGAAGGGGAAAAGGGGGCGAGGGTAGCATCAATGCAGTGGATCAAGAGCCCTTCAGCAGCATCAAGGCAAGTCCCTTCAAGGTTGAGGTTAAGTGGATAAGGAGGAAGTGTTGTTGGAGGCGAGTTAACCAAGCCAGTGACAGCTCTGCCAAGCCTTCCTTACCTCCAACCACCACCAGCTTATACTCCGTCATGGTGACTCGCTCTCTCCCACGCTAGGTATACACAGCTGCAGTCTACTCTGCGCTAAGTCTAGTGGTCGGCCGATGGGGGCTACATTAGCCGCATAATAAACAGTTTTATACCGCTGGTGTCGCCACACACACACACATACACAGTCTTCCCCACCCTCCTGCTCTAGACACGTTCCAATAATACACCCTAACCAATATCTCAACCCTTTCTTAACAACCCTCTCACTCCTACACCCTCTCAGAATTACCCACTAATTTCCTATAGTGTTCTTCCAAATCCCGAGTTCTAATGACTGGCTAATTCTTCCCCGGTTGGCAACAAAATTTATTTATTTTATTTTGTGGTGTATATGGATGAGGTGAGGCTGGTGTGAGCACCGTCTGTCCCAGACGGTGCTCACACACCTCTTCTCTTACATCGACTTTTCCTCATTTTTAGCCACAGTTTCGCCTCCGTACTGGTCGATGCAACGCCTTTACGTAGGAAATAATGGCACGATGTTCGTTCTGAGCCAGAGGTGGTGAAGGAAAGGTCGAAGGTGAGGAGTTAAGTGAGAGGTGGAACAAGGGCAGGAGAGCCCAGGGCGTATGGACACACTCTTCACTTTGCTGCCTCAACCACACAAATTTCGCTCTTGAGGCACTCCACTGTCATGCCTTCCCACTTGAAATACACTCAAAATGACAGCAGTCTTCTATGAGCGGCGTGGAGAAGAGGATAAAGAAAGCGGTAATAATTTAGCGACATATGGCAAGTGAGATGACTCATAACAAAGGCACACAGGTCCTAGCCAAGCTTTTAACTCCCCCCCCCGTCTAGGGACGTTCCTCGATCATACCCATGAGCTCTTGATCCAAGTAATTAGCGCTGCCCTTCCCTTGGTTCAAAGCTAATTACCTCCCGTTCTCCCGGTCGCTTTATAACTCCTACACCTGCGCGTCTTTTGGATTATAACCCCTACGGGGTTAGCGCCTCATGAGCTTAACGGGTTCCTACATCACTGAGATCAATCTCTTGTTTCAGGTTTTCCTTCAAAATTAATCTCGAATGAGAATCGGGCACACATTTCCACATGTTACCACTAACTAGTTCAGTTATCAAAACTTTGGGGCCCAGTTCCTGAGCCCATGATATACATCTGTAATAATTTAACTACCGCCCACAGGATGGGTATGGGGTGCATAATGAAGTGAAACTAAATTCCTCCATCGACACCTGTTTGCAGGTGCACCTGCCGTGGAACAGGTTTAAACCATTTGCCCCATTATAATTACTACCTTGGTTAGTGGGGGTTTAAAACCTGTCGACTACACGAGGGTCGTTAAGGCTTGAATTTTTAACCCCGGAGGGTTAGCCATCCAGGATAACTCGAGAAAATCAGTGTGTCATCTAGGGACTGTCTGTTTCCATTGGGGTCCTCAGTTTTGTCCCCCAGGATACGACCTATACCAATCGACTAACACTCAGGTACCTACTTACTAGCTAGGTGAAGGAGGACAGCAGATGTAAAGAAACGCCCAATGTTTTCACCCATGCCGGGAATCAAACCAAGGGCACTGTGTGTGAGGTGGGAGTGTTGCCTACCACCTTTCCACCACCAGACAATAAATAATACTCTTGATTGAGACACTTATGCAACATATAGGAATCTTTATTGAAGAAACGTTTCGCCACACAGTGCCTTCATCAGTCCAATACAAAGCAGAAAGGGGTAAGGAGAGGAGGAATTTGAGATAATCAGTCCCTCAGCCTGGAATCGATGTGTTCAGTCCATCACTCTTGTAGAAAGTACAGCACAGGTCCAGAGAAGTGGCTTATATACTGTAGACAGGCGAGTGGAAGCAGGAGTTGGAAGGATCACAGTGGAACTATCTACTAGTGTAAGTAGGTCTTCGTCCAAAGGTTGGAGAAGTATTGAAGAATTCCTTGTATCAAGATCCCAGGATGTTGTAGTGTCTGACAGATGTGATAAATGGTTTTGAAAACCGACAAGTTGAAGTGGCTCAGTCCTCAACTCGTCAGTTTTCAAAACTATTTATCACAATAATACTTTAGCCAACTAAAGCAGGTAAAGTAAGCTGAGCATATATACGCTGCGAGAAATACACTTATCTGTATATATACCTTGTTATTTATAACTGGTGATAGGCTCTTTATCCAAGGCCATCCAGGCCATGGAAAACCGGGGTAGCCACAGCCACTCAAGAGGGAGAGGTTTTTTAGTGTTAGTTTAGTTTAATGTGTTTATTATGCACCCCATACCCATCCTGTGGGCGATTACAGAGGTACATAATTGGTCCAGGGACTGGACTCCAAAGTTTAGATAGCTGAGCAAGTTACAGAAAAAACTGGCAGGAAATGGCGGAAATCGTACGCCAAATCCAGTCATTTCTGGAGTGGAACCACAGTCGATGGCTTCCACTCCAAACCAACAGATACAGATACCAGTGCCGGAAAAAAAAGTCCCCCTCCCCCAGTACCAACAATACCACCAGTCCGATGACATTCTTCTTTGATCTAAAGCCAGCAACGAACAACAAAATACCTTTCATCCGTGGACTGCTTGCAGAGGCAAATGCATTATTTGCGGCTTTCACAGAGACCCACATAAAGGATCACTTGGACAACGAAATATGGATCCCAGGCTACAACCTATACAGATGTGACAGAGTGAACAGGTAAAAGAATGGGGGTTGGCCTGTATATAGCAGAGTCACTTGTTTGCACAGAACTGCTTAATGCCTAAAATGATGTAGTGGAAGTTTTAGCAGTAAAGATCGAGAACCAAAACCTAGTCATCGTGGTAGTCTACAAGCCTCCGGATGCAATGTCCCAGCAATTCCAGGAACAGCTGTCAAAAATTGACCACTGTCTGGAAAATCTGCCAGCTCCTGCCCCCAACATCTTGCTCCTGGGGGATTTCAACTTAAGGCACCTAAAATGGAGGAATATAGCAAATAATGTTGTTGCAGTGATAACACCAGGAGGCAGCTCTGACGAAAACTCTCACACACACGAGCTTTTAAATCTCTGCACAAAATTCAACTTAAACCAGCAAATAATAGAGCCTACTAGACTGGAGCATACACTAGACCTCATCTTCACTAACAATGATGATCTGATACGAAATGTCACCGTATCAAAAACAATATACTCAGATCACAACATAATCGAGGTTCAGACATGTATGCGCGGAGCCCCAGACCGACAAAATGAGATTAGTCACGAGGGAACCTTCTCCAAATTCAACTTTAATAACAAGAACATAAAGTGGGACCAAGTAAATCAAGTCCTAAACGATATAAACTGGGAAGATAGACTAAGCAACACAAACCCCAACTTATGCCTAGAACAAATTAACTCGGTGGCACTCGATGTATGCTCAAGGCTTATTCCTTTAAGAAAAATGAGGAGTAGATGTAAAATAGAAAGAGAGAGGCGCTCCCTTTACAGGCGAAGGAAAAGAATAACAGAGGGGCTAAAAGAGGCCAACATATCTGAAATGCTATATAAATAGCAAACATCGAACTTAAGCTAAAGGATTCTTATAGGAGTAAGGAATCGCGGGAAGAACTAAGAGCCCTAAATGAAATCGAAAGACACCCAAAGTATTTCTTTTCTTATGCCAAATCAAAGTCGAGAACAACATTCAGTATTGGGCCCCTACTTAAACAAGATAGGTCCTACACAGATGACAGCAAGGAAATGAGTGAGCTACTCAAGTCCCAATATGACTCGGTTTTTAGCAAGCCGCTAACCAGACTGAGAGTCGAAGATCAAAATGAATTTTTATGAGAGAGCCACAGAATTTGGTTAACACAAGCCTATCTGATATTATCCTGACACCAAATGACTTCGAACAGGCGTTAAATGACATGCCCATGCACTCTGCCCAAGGGCTAGACTCATGGAACTCCGTGTTCATCAAGAACTGCAAGAAGCCCCTATCACGAGCTTTTACCATCCTATGGAGAGGGAGCATGGACACGGGGGTCGTCCCACAGTTACTAAAAGTAACAGACATAGCCCCACTCCACAAAGGGGGCAGTAAAGCAACAGCAAAGAACTACAGACCGATAGCACTAACATCCCATATCATAAAAATCTTTGAAAGGGTCCTAAGAAGCAAGATCACCACCCATCTAGAAACCCATCAGTTACACAACCCAGGGCAACATGGGTTTAGAACAGGTCGCTCCTGTCTGTCTCAACTATTGGACCACTACGACAAGGTCCTAAATGCACTAGAAGATAAAAAGAATGCAGATGTAATATATACAGACTTTGCAAAAGCCATCGACAAGTGTGACCATGGCGTAATAGCGCACAAAATGCGTGCTAAAGGGATAACAGGAAAAGTCGGTCGATGGATCTATAATTTCCTCACTAACAGAACACAGAGAGTAGTCGTCAACAGAGTAAAGTCCGAGGCAGCTACGGTGAAAAGCTCTGTTCCACAAGGCACAGTACTCGCTCCCATCTTGTTCCTCATCCTCGTATCCGACATAGACAAGGATGTCAGCCACAGCACCGTGTCTTCCTTTGCAGATGACACCCGAATCTGCATGACAGTGTCTTCCATTGCAGACACTGCAAGGCTCCAGGCGGACATCAACCGAATCTTTCAGTGGGCTGCAGAAAACAATATGAAGTTCAACGATGAGAAATTTCAATTACTCAGATATGGTAAACACGAGGAAATTAAATCTTCATCAGAGTACAAAACAAATTCTGGCCACAAAATAGAGCGAAACACCAACGTCAAAGACCTGGGAGTGATCATGTCGGAGGATCTCACCTTCAAGGACCATAACATTGTATCAATCGCATCTGCTAGAAAAATGACAGGATGGATAATGAGAACCTTCAAAACTAGGGAGGCCAAGCCCATGACGACACTCTTCAGGTCACTTGTTCTATCTAGGCTGGAATATTGCTGCACACTAACAGCACCTTTCAAGGCAGGTGAAATTGCTGACCTAGAAAATGTACAGAGAACCTTCACGGCGTGCATAACGGAGATAAAACACCTCAATTACTGGGAGCGCTTGAGGTTCCTGAACCTGTATTCCCTGGAATGCAGGCGGGAGAGATACATGATTATATACACCTGGAAAATCCTAGAGGGACTAGTACCGAACTTGCACACGACTTGGCAGACGATGCAACATCCC